GGCCCTTCCCCGCCCCGTGGCGCTGAGCCCGTGTGCAGGCAGGTGCCTCTGAGCACGCCCGGCCCTGTCAGGTTACACGGACTGGGGAAAGAGCGAGTCTTTTCTCTCCTTTCTCTGTCAGGAGAGCAGCGATGACCAGCAGTGTTTGGCCAGGGAGGCCTTGGCAGCCCGAAGGGCGCATTGATCAGGGCCGTGCGTGCTTGGTATTGATCCAAGGCGAGTAGTTTCAGTGTCAACAAAGCACCCTCCAAGCTCTGAGCAACTGCACTTTGAAGTGGGGCAAGTTGTAGGCCAGGAGGAGGTGTTGCCAAGTGACGCTTATGGAATAAAAACATATGTTTTTCCTCAGCGGTTGTCAGCCTTCAGCATAGGGGACAGCTTATAACAGAAAATTCTTATGTGCCTGTTTTTTGGGGGTGGGGGGACAAGCGTCTGAGTTTTGCTTATGTTCTTTTTTTCTAACTTCTTGATGCTCATTCTATTTTCCTGCTTCAGGAGCTGACTTGGGAAAGTTCCCGGAAAGTACGTGTGATATATATATGTATATTTTTTCCCCATAATTCTTTCTGTTGCATATTGTTTTTAAGTTACTTTTTAATAAACACAAATTCAGTTGCTGCTTTTTGAATTGTAGATGTGCAGAATGATAATGTGGAGCCTTCGTAAATAAAATGTGTTGCTCTAGTCCCTAAGAGGAGCTTAGGTACTGGTATTTTGAACTCTATTTTTGGGCTCTGTTTTTGAGCAATGGTTGTATAGGATAATAATATCTTAAGTATTCAGTAACGTAAGTTACTTGAGTATTGCTGTTATTGGCCTTTACTTGTTTGGACTTTCTTTGACCTGTTAGCTGATGCAGAGGTAAAAATGTACATCCTGTTTGATCTTAGTGGTGTAAACAGAAAAGCTGGAGTGTCTGTTGCCCCATTTGCACTCTCTCCACCTCCTGTCTCTTATACTTGTAAGTCCTATGAGTTAATTAGTGTCCAAATTCACATGTGTCAATGTTAATTCCTTACCGAATGTGTGATTGAAAACAAACACTCAGTATAATGGACAACTATATTAAAAATGCAGAAGTTGTCTGTCAGTTGTCACCTTTGGTAAGACCCACTCGTATGGAGACTTTCTAACAACCTCTTTAAATATCTAGCAATATTTTGTGTAAATATTAGGTTTTCTTAATCATTTCAAGACTTGCTTGAGCTCTCCCAGAGCCTGGGTTTCAGAACATGTATGTGGAGAAGTTCATCACGGCATTTCTAGGGCCTTTTCTGATCATTTTTTGAGTTCTTGCTTTAAAGTAAGAGTACAGAAGTGCAGAATAGTCATGTAGTGGTGATAACTTATTCTTAAGGTTTCCTGCAGAAACTTTGACACAACACTAAAAAGTCAGACTCCGATAGACTTCATTACGAATGTTGTTGTTAAGAGGACTTTAAAGTAAAGTATCCTCAGACACCTAGTGGTTTTATTGCCATCCTAAAACATACAGTAAATGGAAAAATGAGATTTTTATACTGACAGAAGTGAAAAAGCTGCTTATAAATAATGACTTCAGGTTTTGCCCTTTTTTTTTTTTCTCCTAATAAAGTCACTTCTTGATTGATGAAAGCATTTAGGGGTCAAAAGGCAGTTAAAAGGAGTCTGCAAGGAAGCTGTTTTTTAAGGTATTCAGAATAAGCACCAGTGCTTCTCTTCTGCTGTTCTTGCTATCTCCTCAGGTCAGTAGTCTAAATTGTGCTGTATCAGAAACTGGAGATTCTTAAACCTGAACCTGAGGGGTGGGGGGAAAGGTGGCAGCGCTTTCAGTGTATATAGATGTTTCATTTCCAAAACAAACTAGATGTCAGAGACAGCTTTGTGGGGAGTGGCCCCAGGGACTGTCTGGAGAGGTTGTTTGCAAATATGTGCCATTGCTGAAAGGTTTTTCTAGTTAATCTAACTATACAAAGGAAAAGCGATTGGTAATATAAGTTTGCAGTCATTTATGAAAATGAGTTGGACACATGGACCATGGTCTTTTCCCTTATTCACTGTTATTTAAAGTGGTTCGTGCCTCCAGCTCTTCATTTTTTATTTAAAATATCAAAGATATGGAAATTGATTCTCCCTTTGCAGCCCTTTTTAAAGGATGAAGCTAAATATTCCTACGCTCTGTTTTAAAAATTCCTTTCCTTAGTGTTTTTTTCTGTGCTTTTGTCTTTTTCATAGTGGTCCTGCTCAAAGATGAATGGAGGTAAACTATATTTAATTTACAAATGGAAATAAGCAGAGGAAAGGCATTGAGGAATAAAATTTAAGATCATAAACATCAAAGCACAAGCCTGATATGTTTTCTTCTTCCTGCATAGCTTGCTGGAGATCTGTTGACTGTTTTGATAAGGAGAAATCCATCTCCTTGTTATCGAAAAAGCATTTGTATTGAAAGGGATCTCTTTCTTTGTATGGCGTTCTCATTAATTTATTTTAATTCACTGGGTGACAACTGAAGACTTAGGTGTGTGACATGTTGCCAAGGGGGTGATACTTTGTATTTTCACAGGAGTTAAGTCAGTTCCTATCCTGTTTTAGCCTCTCTTTCCTTCTTTGTAGTCAAGTACTGAGCTCTTTGGTTGTAGAAATGACCTGACTTGAAATTCCTCAGACCTGAGGACTGTTAGTGAGCTCTCTTGGCTGTGATTAAGTCATGGATGGAACTAAAAAGAATGAAATGTTTTAAAATTACAAGGTCTATGCCAGGTTGGCCATTGGTTGTGCTGTATGTGTGTATATTTATGTGCATATATGTGTGTGTATGTATATAGGCACATGCAACCACCTAGTTCATCATGGTAGCATGGATTGATTATTTATTTATTTTTCTTCTGTTTTAGGTCAGAAACCTAAAAGACAATTTCTTTGCGTTACTCTGTTAGTAATGGAGCTTGCCACAGTGTGTTGAGTACAAAATATGTCCAGTTCTCTGTAGCAGAGAAGACTGTCAAACTGTTCTTTTAAAGGTCAATAAGCATTTCTTGAACATAGGAGCTCCACAGCAGTGGTTTGATGCCTGTGAGAAATTTGGCTTGCATTGAAAATTTTAGGTCTCTTACTTAGATATCTTTGTGTAGAAAGGATACACAGAATTGTTTTGATATAGCTGAAGTTTTTGGCAAATATGAAATCAAAGCATATATTTTAAGGAATAATCTTTTTTGGAAGTAATATATGTATAGGATCTATATGTAGCATATAGAAGCTGGTTATCTAGATCTCAGATTGTGGACAAAAGCAGATAGGATATCAGGAAGTCTTTAAAGCTAGTGGGGTCTGTAGGTCAATGAGACATTTTGCTGGGCATTTAGAAAATGTATATAAAATGCTACTGTTTTGACGATACCTTTTGGATCACTTAATATCTTTTGATTCCCTCAACTAATTACTAATAGTTATGCATTGTGGGTTTGCTGTCTTTGGGCCATATGTTTTCAAGCATCCAGGCAAACAGGAACGAGTGATTATTTGCTGCTCTCAGCAGTGGTTTTTGTATATTTATCTTGTCAACTGTAAACAGGTAAGCTGGCCTGCATAAAACATGTCATGAAAAAAAACAATCGGAAGACTATTTCTGAATGTTAAGCAGGTGTTACTGAAGCAAAAGTAAGCACAAGACATTTCAGCTTAAAGATAAATCTTTGATTATATGTTGACTCATTTTCTTTCAATAAGAAACTAATTATTTCAGTTTGTGATTACTGCAAAGAGCTTTAGTTCTTCCTGTTGATGACAAACTGAAAGCCCTTTCATGGTATTGATAGTGTTTTATGATGAAGATACTAGTTTGTGAGATGGGAATCTTCTGATGCTGAAGACCTGCCTGTATAGGTTAGATTGGATGGAAGTAGATTTGTAGTCCATATATGGTAGTGTGTCTCTTGCGATGGAAAGAAATAGGAGGGAAAAGTGTGCTTTCGATTATGAACGGGTAGCTGAATTTATGTACCTTCAAATTTCCAGTCAAAGTATAACCTGGCAAGATGTTTTTGTGTAAAGAATATACGTAACTTGTGATTTGTGAGCAGTGTTTGGTAGAATTGGAATCATTTAGGTTGCAAGAGATCCTTGGTCATCTGCTCCCACCTCCTACTCAAAGCAGAGCTAACCACAGTGTTTAAACCTTAATAAGGCATGTGATAGTGAAGCTGATCAGGGAAATGGCATATGGCAAGGTTTTTTAGTTATAAGAAACTAGTAACTTCGTTTAAGAAACCAGAGACCTGGTTCAGCTACCATTAAAACCAGTTGAAGCTTTTGCATTAGGCTCAGTTAGTGCTGAATCATCAACGTGTGTTTTTACTGTATTATATTATACTAAGGCAGCTACGAATAATATTGCAAATCTGTTTACAAAGACTTGGTTCTTCTGTCAGCTTGTACGATGTGAGTGTCCAACAATGTTGACATAAAGAGAAAGTACTACTAAGCTATTAAATGGTGTTGTAATTCGTACATAGCAGTAAGTTAATGTCTTAACTTTGCAATTGATTGATGTAAACAGTATGATATGCATAGCAGTTTTCTCTCAAGACTTTTTAAGACACCCTTTCTTACTGTTGAATGTTTTTTTTTTCCTGCTTGTTTTTAAGTGCAGAATGTCTCAGAGCTGTATGCATGGGGAAACTTAAAGGGTAGAGAGAGAGAATTTCTGCAAAGCTCTAAGCTGCTTATATAAATTATATTAGAAACAAAACCAGAAAATCCCAGCAACCCAGCTGTGTTAATTCAGTGCATCTTCCCAGTAAACACAGTATGAAGCTTTGTTCTGCCATTTTGATGTACCTATGGGCTGCATAACGCGATGTGACAACTGGGAGAAACGCTGCAGCGAGGTTTGGGTTGCAGGCCTGCAGCCTGACTTGTGGCAGAGAAGCCCCAGTTCCGAATCTTGGTGCAGGTGCATGGTCTCAGCATCCTGATCTGTAAGGTGGAATGACACACACATACACACACACATTTCCCTAGCAGTTTACTTGCTCTGTACAAGCTACAGGCAGGTTTGAAAATGGTTTTCAGAAGGAAAAAAGCAGGATGATACTGGCAGAATTTGGGGGACAAGATTTGCTATGAGCAGCCAGTGGCAGAGCCAAGGATGTGGTCTATGTGGAGCTTAGTCTTTGTTCTCTTCCTTTGGCTAAAAGACTTGTAATGAAGGTGGAGGTCGTGCTGCTTATCCAGTGAGAAACTGGGAGAAGTGGGCAAGTCTTCTTGTGCTCGGGTGAATCAAAGCCTGGATAACTTCAGTGCCTCTAACAGAGTTCACAGTGCTAGGTAGGGATGGAAGGGATGGGATATTTCATGTTACTGGGCATGTGAATTTTCCCTGTTGCCTTGTCCCAAAAGCTGTTTCAGTGCCTACCTCTTACGCTTGCCATTCTGGACCACAGACTGTTGAAAGACTGGAATGTTTTTGCAGTGAGATGAGATAGGAAAGTTATGATACCTTAATAGAAAACTGAAAATGTAACTGAAATACAGGCTTA